AAAATTAAGGGTTAATCTCAGTTTTACTACTATGAAGTTTCTTGGTTTTCAACATTTGTTATATAAAGTTTTTTTTTCATCCTAGAGTGGTACCTAAAATGACACACCCCAACCGAGATCGAGGCATGTTGACCATCACATGAGAGTGATGTAGCCATGTGTACAGTGCAAAAACAATAATGATAATAGAGAATGAAAACCAACTCATAAGAGTACTAGTTAAGACAAGTGCTAGAATATGTGTGAATACACAATCAGAGCGTAAGTAGCCTAAGTTCAGTTCAGAAAACAAATACTAATTAAACGACACCCAAAGATGCCCTACATTTGTGATAGTCTGTCAGAACCTCCAATCAATCCTCGTGAGCCACCAACGAACAAGCTTATCTAAAACTAGAGGGGTACAAAATAGAAAGTGTGAGTGGGCAAAAAAAAGCTTTTCAAAATCATTTCATTTATCAAATGCTCTAACCCCTCACCGTAAAACATGTATAACTTTTCCAAAAATAGAATATATATATATATATATATATATATATATATATATATATCAATTCATGCTTCACATATCCATAATTATAAGTATGTCATGCCAAATATAAAACATAATAAGTAACTCAAGTGAAAACATGTTCATGGGAAATAACATATTAGCTAGAACCCCTGCATGGGTCTGTACGGCTGAATTCATAGCTCATTAGTCAATCTAGCCGGAGTCACCGTAAGTGACCTACATGGCACTACATTGCACATGAGTCGGAACCACTGTAATGGTCTATACGACATGATTGGGTGTAATATAATTATGCTCATTGCTACGTTCTCATTATAGCTGTGCGATAAATCGCTAGTCACCTACAAGTCGGAACCACCTATAATGGTCTGTACGACAAGACTGTGCACTTAAATTTGATCCAATGTGAGCATATGGTGCGGGAGGTGACATCATAAACAGGCATGTACCATATCTCTGGCTAAATCACAATCATCCGGGGTGCAGGTTTATGAGCTCTCAATCACGTCTCACATTATCAATATCTCATATAATAAAACATAACTCACCTGGTGCTTACCTAAGCGTCCACAGCACCAATTCATATTATGCATAATATACTAATTCATATGCTGATTATAAATTTAGATGCATGACATTTCAAAGCATACTTTCATTTAAACACATTTTCTGGAAAAATATCAAGTATATAAATATATACTGAAAACCAAAAGCCCACTCACTAGTATGTCGAAGGGTTGTAGCCCCCGAGTCGTCCTTGACTGCGCTCGTCCTCGAGATAAATCTTCCCTATATGCGAAACAACTATAAAAACATTAATTTAAAGCACATAACAAAAACTAGCTAATAATTTCTCATTCATTGCTCAAATGGGGTGTTTAAATATATCAACGTGATCTACACAACCTCACAAACATCCCCATATTTTTTGAAAAATTTTCCGACGTCCCACGCGCCGGCGAAGGCAAGCCCAGACGCGCCTCCACACGCGGCCAACCCTGACGGAATCCTTAACCACCGTTAGGGAATATTCTGCTAAAAATTAGAATATTCTGTTAAAACTAACCTGACACCGTTAGTTGCCGTTAGGAATATTCTGTCAACTCTGACGGAATATTCTTCTTTATTCTCCGGTGAACCTCGTCGGTCGCCGTCGAAAAACTGGAAAATGTTTAAACCTTCATTTCTCTTCCATTTCTCAACCAAATATCATGAAATCTTAACCAAAATGAAGCTTAGGACTAGAAGAACACAATCTTACCAATTTCAAGCTCTAAAAATCATGGGATCTCGCCGGAGAAAGCACGATACTTCCGCCCAAATTTCAAACTCGCCAAACTCGACTTCCCGACATCCAAAACACCTCGTTTTTCTTCTCCGAGCTTCGTGAAGATGTTCTAAAGCTTCCTAGAGGCTTAAAATCTTTAAAAACTTCACATTTATGTGTGCATGAACAGTACCTCGAATCTGGGTTCTAGGGAAAGTGAGGGTTTCACGTCTAAAGAAAGGTATGGTTGTGATCCTTAGCTTGCCAATAACTCAAAGACATTAACTTTAGCCTTGATCCGTGAGTGATCAAGGGGTTTTGAAACTGGTCCGTACGTTGTACGGAAAATGGAAAGAAACCCGAAAGGAAGGAGAGAGAGAGAGAGTGTGTGTGTGTCCACGTGGGTCACCAACCAAAACCAACAAAATCTTACTTCTAATTGGGTCCAATTAATTAGGAATATAACTAATTGGTCCTCAAGCTTAAGTCTAACTCACACTCCACAATAAAACTCAACATCCAAAGGTATATAAGTAATTTCACGCCGTCGAAAATAAATATTTTGGGACGGGCTGTCACATAAAGTCATAATTTTGAGACACTTTCATACATCCATTAAGGTTGATGTTAAATGGTGACATGACGCCTATATGAACAATGACTGGGTGCCACGTGTCAATACAGGCCCACATGAATATTAAAAATTTTAAAAAATAGAAAGAAAAAAAAAAAAAGGGTTAAATCTCTATCCACTCCTCACCCACCCCACCTTCCCCTTCTCTGATATCCACCCGCCACCATCCCTTTTCCCCTTCCCCTTCCCAAAACCCCCCAAACAACCCTCTCTCCATTCTCTCTCCACGGCCGACACCCAGAATGCGAACCCGGATCAGGAAACTCGGTCTGCCGTAAACTCTTGTTCGAGCCACCGCTTACATCGCTGTCTCTCCGGAGAAGATGACGGAGTTTCTTGATCTTGATGAGAGCATGGCACACGCACAAGCCGACCCACCGCAAGAGAAGTTCGATTTCATAGTGCAGTTGAGGATTGACGAAATCAATAGCAGTTTGATCCCTATTCTTCCGCGTGCTCATTTGGGTTCAAGATTGCGATATTTTCTGCAAAGATTTCCTTCTGGTGTTCGTGCATCCCACCTATTTGATCCAATGTATAAGTCAAGATCTTTTCCTGAGGTTATAAGTTTCTCTGAAGATTTTCTTGTCTTTTTTCTTCTCATTTGGTGATTTGGTGAAATGGGTTATGGTGGAATTTTTGTTTAGAAGAATGATTGTTACAATGAAATGGGTTATGGTGGTTCGACAAAAAAAAAAAAGAAAAGGTTATGGTGGAATTTTGGAATGGAGAGAGAAGGGAGGGAAGATTGTTTGGGGGGTTTTGGGGAAGAGGACGGGGAAAAGGGATGGCGGCGGGTGGGTATTAGGGAATGGGAAGGTGGGGTGGGTGAGGGGTGGGATAGAGATTAGCCCAATATATTTTTTATTTCTACTTTAATTTTTTTTAATTTTTTAATATTCACGTGGGCCTATATTGACACGTGGTGCCCATTTATTATCTACATGAGCTCCGCATCACCATTTAACGACAGATTTAACAGTAACCTTAACAAATGTAGAAAGTATCTCAAAATTATGACTTTAGATACAATTCTGGGATGCAAAAAACTTCACGTACCAAATGTTAAAAACAAAAAAACTTCAGGGTAGTAAACTGATATTAACCTTATTAATGAAAAACAATTAAATTTTAATGAAAAGAACACAATTAATTTTTTTTTATTTTTAAAAAAATCAGACGTGTGGACCTGTGCGACTATCACCAACACTGTTTATGAAACTGAACAGTACTACACTATTTATTGGTCCAGTTTCATAAATATTGTCTAATTCTTGATCCATTTTCATAAATAGTGCATAGTTCTTGGTCATGTTTCATAAATATTGTCTAGTTATTGAGTCCAGTTTCATAAATAATGTATAGTAGTTGATACAATTTCATAAATAGTATCTCTTTCTTGGTTCGGTTTCATAAATAGTGCCTAGTTGTTGGTCCACTTTCATAAATAGTGCCTAGTTCTTGGTCATGTTTCATAAATAGTGTATAGTTCTTGGTCCAGTTTCATAAATAGTTTCCACCTATTAGTTTAGTTTTAGAAATAGTGCCTAATTCTTGATTTCGTTTCATAAATAGTGTCTACTTATTGGTTTAGTTTTATAAATAGTGTCTACTTATTGGTTTAGTTTTATAAATAGTGTCTACTTATTAGTCTAGTTTTTATAAATAGTGTCCACTTATTAGTCTAGTTTCATCAATAATGTCTACTTATTGGTCAAATTTTATAAATAGTGTCTAATTCTTAGTTTAGTTTCATAAGGTTTGAAACTTAGACCATTTTTGGTCCTGTAAAAGCATCAATTGCGCTAAAAGCGATGAATCCAGAAGTGATCATTTAGATCAAAACCTTGAGAAGATTATGTTATGAGTAATTATATTTAAAAAGCTGTTTTCAATTATCAAATTAGAATTCTCTCACATTTTTTACATGGCTACAATAATAAATGTAGCTCTCCATTCATTATTTTTTGAGCTTGTGTGTCATTTTGGAAAAAAAAAATTCCCTTATGCCCGTAACACAAGTGGTACTCAACGTATTATTATGTAATTGGTGGGAAATTTTATTTTGTATGTTATTAATTTTTTAATACAAGAATCTCACCACTTGTATAGAGACACGTGGAGTACCATCCCGTGTTCTGGACAAATTGAAAAATCTTTCGTCATCTTGACTACTATTGGGAAACAACACCACAAAAATAAAAATGGGGAATGTAATTGAATTTGAAGTTTTTTTCTTATTCTAAGCTAAAAAAAAAATCTCTTAATGTAGCTGACAATGGGAGAAAAAAGGGGAACGTACCCAGCTAAAGTTGGGTTTTTTTATTTTTATTTTTATCATTAAATAAAATTAGTAACTGATTTTTTATTATTATTAAAATGCAAAGATTTAAAACTTTTTTATTTATTGTTTTATAAAATAAACACGTTTATTCAACCGTTAATAATAATGCAACCATTATCTTTACAAAATTTGAACTAATCTTTTATTTTAATTTAGAAAAAAAGACCGAAGGGTGAAATACATTAAGGAAAAGTCAACGGTCCCCATCTTCTTCCCCATTTGCTCTCTGAAGTTTTGAGGAGTCTCCACCAAAATTTTCCAACAGTAGAAACGCCAGTACTCGTCCAAGAGGGTCCTACCTTTATTACCTTAGTTTAAATAAAACAACTTAGGTCGACATTCTGTAAAATTCTAAGACTGCCTTCAAATCAGAATCTGTCGAGACCAAAAGCAGAAGCACCAGAAGAAGTGCTTCGATCAACAACAAGAAGCGAAAACAAGGAAATTTCAAATAGTCATGAAGAAAGGAAGCTTAGGATCCAACCTCAAGCTCACTCTCCCTCCTCCTGATGAAGTTTCCATCTCTAAGTTCTTGTAATTCTCTCTCTCTCTCTCTCTCTATATATATATATATATATATTGTATTTATATATTATGGGTTTTGTGGTCTGGCAGGACACAAAGCGGTACGTTCATGGATGGGGATCTCCTGGTTAATAGAGAAGGGGTTCGGATCGTTTCTCATAGAGAAGTTGAAGTTGTAAGCTACTTTTCAAAGATCACACCTTTAATTTTGTGAAATGTAAAGATTGAACCTTTGAACTGAATTGGGTCGGAATTTTGGCAATTTAATGAGCATTGTTATGATTAGGAAAATGGGATTTGCTTATTATTCAAATTTATGCACTGTGATGTTGTGAATTGTGAATTTCATATAAGATTAGGTTTTTGATGTGTTTTTGGTTGTGAATGTGAATTTGAATGCAAATGCTCAGCCACCACCTATTCAAGCATCAGACAACCAGATGATTTTAGCCGATCTCGACGCGATTAAAGTTATTGGCAAGGGAAATGGTGGGGTTGTGCAACTGGTTCAGCACAAATGGACTCATCAGTTTTTTGCATTAAAGGTATGGCGGAAGGCCCTTATGATTTTCAAATAATTTGTTCTTGTTTTCCCTATTCAAGTAAGTCCTCGTGACCGTAAGAAGGTTGGTATCGTTTTGTGGTCTTCGTATGATTGTGTTGTGCCTTGACACCATTTTGATTTACCAAATATGTGTGCATGCGGGCGTGTGTTAGCCTGAAGATAGATTTCCAAAAGTGAAGCTGTAAGCTGCAATCATGTGTTCGAGTCTTGAGATGGGTAAAGTTGAGTAGTGGAGGTCTCTTATAGAGCTATTTCAAAATTCTTACTATTTCAGAAACTTCTTTGAATTAAGATTTCTTAATTATAAACACCATTCCTTACATGTTTGAAATTCACACTATTAAGAATTATCTTCATGCTTTTCTAGATTGTAGAGATATCCACTGATATGCCTTCGAACGGATATTTCTGCATATTGTGTTGTATTCTTTATGCCCTTGCTCCAACAATGTTTTATGCTTTATCCCAATTTCAGGTAATTCAGATGAACATTGAAGAGTCTATCCGCAAGCAGATTGCACAGGAGTTGAAGATTAATCAATCGTCACAATGTCCAAACATTGTTGTATGTTACCAGTCCTTCTATGAAAATGGTACCATTTCAATCATCCTAGAGTACATGGATGGTGGGTCTTTGGCAGATCTTCTGAAGAAGGTCAAAACAATTCCAGAGTTTTATCTTGCTGCCATTTGTAAGCAGGCAAGTTACCTCACATTTATGATGCAACCTGAAACTCTCCGTCTTTGATATATACTAATTAAAACATGTTGTTTTCTCCCGTCTTGTTGGTGCAGGTGCTGCAGGGTTTGTGTTACCTTCATCATGAAAAGCACATCATCCATCGGGACTTCAAACCCTCTAATTTGTTAATCAATCATAGGGGAGAAATTAAGATAACAGACTTTGGTGTGAGTGCAATAAAGGCAAGCACGTCCGAACAGGCAAATACATTTGTTGGCACATACAACTATATGTCGGTGAGTTAATTAGTTATATCGTATAACAAGAATTTATGCCTTTCAGGGCTATTGAGGTGTAGGCACTAACTGTTTCTCTTAAAATTTGTTTTGCAGCCAGAGAGAATTGTCGGTAGCAATTATAGCTACAAAAGTGACATTTGGAGCTTGGGGTTAGTACTGCTGGAGTGTGCAACAGGTCAATTCCCATATACACCACCAGATCAAAGTGAAGCATGGGATAACTTTTTTGAGCTTATGAGTGCCATTGTTGAACAACCACCACCTTGTGCACCTTCTGATCAATTTTCTCCAGAGTTCTGCTCATTTATTTCTGCATGGTAAGATCTTACTTTTGCTGGTTCAGTATTAAGTTTGTGATGTTCTGAGGAAATTCTTTTGGTTAAGGTGTGTTTCATTAGCTCAATTGAAGTTTTTGGTGTACATTATCACTTGTAAGTTGTAACACACGGCTCCTTATCTTCTTATCTTATAATTTAGGTTTGTAATAGAATTCAAGAACAAACAAGTGTATTCTCTGTCATTGTTTAATTTATTTTCATTCATTATTTGTTTTTTCTTTTGTCATTTCTGTTCATTTCCAAAAGGATTGGACTGTTGACCAAATTAAAACTTGGGTTTCTTTTTCACTTCTGCTGTTATTGATTTCCAGTCATTGTGGTGTCTGTCGATGAAGTTGCTGTTTTTAACTTTGTTGACGTTTATTTCTTGTTTTCCTGTTTATCTCGAATGTTTTCCCTGTTCTATTTCTAATTCTTTGAGGTTGCTAACGCTACCTTGGGGGCCTCTTCTTTATCTCAGTGTACAGAAAGATCCTAAGGATAGATTGTCGGCTCAGGATCTCCTGGTATGACCTGTGAAACCCTTTTTCTTTATGTACAAGTTTTCTGGATTTTGTGGATACTTCCAATCTAATGTGGTGTTCTTTTATATTTTCTCTTTTTGTTTGATTTCAGAGACATCCTTTCATCAGCATGTACGATGACGTGCATATTGACCTTTCCTCTTACTTCACCGAAGCAGGATCTCCCCTTGCAACATTTTAAAACCTAGCCGGTATGTGCAAATCTGAGTTTCAGAACATATCTTGGACTCACTATTGAAACTGAAATACAAAAATTCCTTGCTTTTCTTCATAAATGCAATTTGGTCTCGTGAATGAAGACCATCGCGTGAATGAAGAATCACTGCCATGATGTGTCATCATTAGTATTTTTCTGTGCTGTGAATTTCTTTTTGTATGGTAGATGAATATGAAGCTTCTTTTTATGACATTTTATGTCCAATATTTATACCGTACTCATTTTTTTTCTTGAAGCTCCTTTACTTGAGATGTTTGAAGTTTCGTAGTGCTTCTAGCCTCTAGAAAACCCACCAAGATTTTTAATTATTCAGAAAGAAACAGGAGTAAACTACATAATCTAAAATTGAATTAGAACTAGATCTAATGTATGCCTAGACACCTTGTTCAACTAAGGATTGGCTTGTAGAATGACTCTTCTGCTCTCTGCTTGCCTATTACAGGATGTGGACTGCCGGTGTTACGGTGTTAGGGGCCATGGATGTACTGTCACGAGTAAACTTTCTTTCGATTTTAGTTCCCTCGGTAGCATAAGCGTGGTTTTGTAATTGACAAATTATTTTTACTTGGAATTTTTGATTTCCTTGCAAACTAATCATACTTCTTCCTGCCACACTTCAAACTAGGCAATTTAATGCCTGAAAGCGAGCAGCTTTCCATAAATTTGAGGTTTATACCAGATCCAGAAGTAGTATTTTATGTTCACATATTCTGTTTGTTACTCATCAAATGCACTTGAAAATCAATTCATCTGTCTAGCGTCGAAAGCATTTGTTCGTCCTTTACGATTGCAAATTCATTCATCTGTGTCTTGTACTTTACCTTCTGTGCAAGTGCATTTCTTATGGATTGTCGTTAATGCGGTTGAATTGTTAGAGAGATTATCAAACAAGAAGGAAAGGAGAGTAGAAAAACACCATTGTAATTCATTAGACTTCTGTGTCTGTAGAAATTGATAATATAGTAAGAACAAAGCAAAGGAGGGCAAAATAATTATTGTAGGGCTATAGTTGTAGAGAGATTTTTCGATGTGATTGTCACACCGTCGTATGATATTAGCAATCAATCTATCGTTCACACAATTAACCACGCAATGTGACGGTCACATTCAATATTTTCTCCACGCATCACTAAACCCAGGTGAAAAACTTAAAAAAGGGTTGAGTCGTTTGAGGATTATATAATATTGTAATATACTGGCATGAATCTCAGATTACCAAATCATAGTTCGAATTAGGGTTTTTTCTTAAACTTCCTTGTGGATTTCAAGTCTACTACTACAACAGTGATGTTGTCCTTGCTCCCCTTTTGCATGGCAAGCTTTGAGAGGTACTCTGCTGCAGATTGGGCAGCAGGATCAGCTCCCTCACCCCGTTCCGTTGACATGGTATCACTGTACTTCTTGTGCCACAGAAGGATCCGCCTTCGTGCAATGTCGCAGGCCTCCTGGTTTGTGATGAAATCCCACAGCCCGTCGCTGGCTAGAATTAGGCACTCGTCTTCTTTTTCTCGAGAAACAAACACCACTTCTGGATCAGGTATAATCCATGGTTTCATGTATCTGTCACCTGATCAGATTAAATACCTTCATCAACAAGAGATCCAAATACAAATGGTGCAATGCATTCAAAATCAAACTTTCGAAAACTCATACCAATTGACCTTGACATCGCAAGAACACCGCAAACACGAGAACCATTCCACTGTATGACCTTGCCTCCTGCAGCCTCTATCCTTGCATATTCATCTTCTCTATTTGGCTGAAAACCAGAACAAAACCTAATCAGTTTTTCTAGAATGTCAACTTCGTAAGAGAAACTTAGGTGCGACCGGTAAACCCTTGTGACTCTCTCTCCCCTCACATGACACACATGCATGAGGGGGGAGAGAGGCGCAAGGTGATAAGTATCTGGTTGTACCTATGATTTTGCGAGATGCAAAATGGATGAAATAATGGAAAACAAAAAAAATTAAAGGTCTTGCCTTGTGGTCTACTGACAAAGGCACAGGAACTTTTCCTCTGCACAATACTGCTCTCGAATCGCCACAGTTTGACACGATAATATGCGTTGGACAAATCACTGCGACTACAGCAGTTGATCCGACGGTTTCAGGAGCTATAGGTTGGAGAAGGCCTCCTGGAGCTCCCCCAGAAGAAGCATCAGTTTTGCTCACATCTGTGCCTCTTGGAGCTCCTCCAATCTCAGCATCCACTTTCAAGAAACTATTGGAGAAGGCCTCCTTCCACCTCTCCTGCCAACCCTCCTCCGCATTGCTTCGGTCATCTAAGCCTGTTTTCGCGACTTCTAGCTCTTCGGCCAATGCAGAATGCATGCGTTCGCGACAATAATTAGCAACCTGCAGAATTGAAGAAAAACCAAGCTGAGGATTCGACACGAAGCTCTTGATGAAAGCAAAAACAGAAATACTATAGGATAAAAATTCGAATTTCAGTGAAGTTAGCATACCTGAGAACCTCCATGTCCATCATATACTCCAAAAAAATGAGCAGTTAAGTCACTTGTGTTTTGATTCATGCCATTCAAGACACTGTCATCCATCAGCATTTGAACCGGAACCTGGGAAAATCGTGGTACAACTGCAACGTCATCTTCCATCTCCGGTCTCCTTCCAATGATAGACGTGTAGCCCCAAAGGGGTACACGATCCAAATCCAAAACTCTCCGACTGCAGCTTGTTCTGCACATTTTCTCATCCCCAGTGGCCGAAAAAAGCGAGGTGGATGCAGCACAAGTACTCGATCCATCGCCAACGCGATCACACGTTGGCCTGAACTTATTATATTCCTGACTTCCCCGATTCACGACTTCCACTCCCCGTTTTTCATCATGAGGACTATTAAATAACAAGGGTGAAGCATTTGCTATTAGTTTGAGGCCAGTAATTTCCATCTGGGATTTTACTGCTGACTCATCATGGATCAAATTACCTAGCCTGTATGGAACAGCAATTGCCTGAGCTAAATCGTCCATGGATTTAACCTTCACCTTCCAAACTCAACTTACAAAATTACCAGTCTTCAGTTACCGCCTTCAGTAAAAATCAAATCTTTTGTGATCTAATTCAAAAACATGAACATTTAGAAAATGGAAAGTTGAAATTACAGAATATACATATATATAGAAAAACTTGAGAAATCTTTCAACTTCTTCAAGTCTCAAGAGAACCAAAACCTTCAAACTTTTTACCAACCAACTGATCTCACAAGAAAAGAAGAAAGCTTTGTCCTATTTATAGCAGACAAAAGTCAGAAAAAGAAAAACCCAGAAAGGAAAGTGATTGAAAAGCTCAGTTCCCTGGATCAAAAGCAACTCATATCAGCCTCTTGAAACTTGGTTCTCTCTCTCCTGTGGAACTTTCATGTTTAACCAACTTCAACAACTTAAATCAAAAGCAGATGAAAAAGTTAAGCTGAGTCACCAACTACTTTTATTTCGATCTCTCTCTCAACGATTCTCACTTCGGCACGAGACTGGTGGCTCATGCGATTAATAGCATTTACCCTTGCACCCCAAGAGTTTTGGAAACGTATCAGAAAATACTAGACACAAGAAACAAAGGTGTTCGATGGTGAGTTTCTTCACTCAACTATGTTCTCAGCTCCGTAACGACTTGTAGCTCAAGCGATTAGGACAGCTGGCACCCGAATAGTTCTTGACAAAGAAACAAAAGGTGTTTGATCTGATGGGCTTCCTCGCAGTTTTCAAAACTCTGCATGCAGATTTCAGGTGGGAAGACTGAGGGGAAAGTGGCAAAAAGAAGAAGAAGCGTAAAAGGAAGGCGTGAAAATGCAGCGTGTTGGATTTATATACAAATAACTTGGAAAAATTATATTAAAAAAAGGAAGACTTTGGATGCGGTCCTTAGTCATGAATATTCTTTGATTGAAACCTTGTTAGTTTTTAATTTTTTATTAAGATCCCTGAAATTAATGTGATAATTTATTTTTATGTACGTTACTATTTTTTTTAAATTAAAAATTAGAAATTTTAGTTGTTTATATAAATGAGATTTTAAATAAAAAAACCATAATTTGTGGGATTAAAAATATTAAAATATAATCTACTATTGTGTGTGTGTGTGTAAACATGGGTACATTCATCAAAATTAACCAAAAAAATCAAAACATGGGTATATTCTTCAAAATCACAAAAAAAAAAAAAAAGATATTAAGCTTAATAACATTAGTAAATTTCTTCGGTTAAACTTGACATAGATACATTTTAAAATCAAAGAAAAAAGAATGTACCTATATAAGTTTAAAAATGGATTAGAAAAAAATTGAATAGATTTTATATTAAAAAAAATGGTACATTTTACATATAACAATTTGTATATTTAAGAATGAGTACATTTTAAGATTAAAAAAGTTTTACATGAATGGGTACATATAATTAGCATGGGTACATTTAGCAAAATAAAAAGTACAAATAAAAAAATATGGGTACAAATACAAATAAACTTTAAAAAATATGGGCACAAAAAGAAATTAATATATGGGTACAAATTAAAATTGAAAAGAAAATTGGTACAAATTAAAAAAAATTACATATTAAAAATGGATACAAACTAAAACTAAAAATATATGATAAAAAATTTAGTCATAAATATAAATATACTAATTGTAACATTTTTAACATTAAACGAATATATTTAGAAATAAAAAATATTTAATTATTGAAATAATTAATGATTTAATAATACAAAGGACCTTGATAAAAAATTAAAAATGAATAGGATTTTAATCAATAGAGTAGTAAAAGGAAGGATGAGAATCTAATTTTTCCTTAAAAAAATTTGGAAAAATTTGGAAAGGAGAAACACACACGTGTTCATGATATGCCAAAGAACGGAATTAACCAAAGCAAGGCATCTCTACTTTACACCTTTTTCCAAAAAAAATTACACACCTACCTTATCAACTTAATAAATAAAATATAAATAAATAAAATATCCCAATATACAAGAATCATATCTTTCAAAAGGTGATTCGTAAGACTATTTACCTAGAATAATTATTAGAAAGACATTTTACCAAAGGATAATATTAGGTAGACTAAAATTATAGACTACATTTGAAAATTAAATGATGTCACAAATAAAAAATAAGCACGTTAATCAATATTTAAGTAAGTGTAATGCTAAAGAGACTAGATTTGGAGACTAAATTTGCAAACTAAATGATGTGTCACTAATAAGAATAAGCACGTTTATCAACGTTTAAATAATAAACTAATCATCAACTTCCATGTCTTTTAGTTTCCAAAACTTTCTCTACAAATTTAGTCTCTCTAGCATTACCCCTTAAGTAATAATTTAATCATCAATTTTCATGTCATTTAGTTTACAAAATTTAGTCTCCTAGCATTACCATTATCCAAAATGATCATTGAGATTAACATGACCCTTACTTTGGTCCATGATTTTGAAAATCAATAGAAGTGGTCCCTAAGTTTGTCTACTGTCAATCGTTGTGATCATTTTGTGAGTCTCCGTTAAATTGAGCGTTTTTTTGTCCAACAAACCCCTCTACTTGCTTTTCCATTTAACCGAGATTTTTCATGGAATGACCTAAATGATTGGCAGTAGACAAACTCAGGAACCATTTTAGTTAAAAAGCCTATAAGAAATGTTGACTCTAAAGGTGACCTCACAGTTCAACGTCAATTTTCATGCTAACATTATAAAATATTATGCCAAAAACATGAGATGGCAGAGAGTCTCACTTTTGAGAGATTCTTTTGGACCATATTTACAAATTATGTGATACGCCACTAATAGGAAATAAGCACGGTAATCAACACTTAAATAATAGTTCAATCATTAACAACTACGTCGTATGATTTACAAAATAGAATTTAAATAAATGATCTCTCTAGCATTGCTCAAAAACAAAAAGAAAATATAAACAATGTAAGACCATCCCAAGGAATTGTGTTAAGCGTAAACAATGTAGTAGTTTGGCACCCTAGCAAAAGACTCCATTATTTTAGCATATTTATAAGACACGTATGTGAATAATGTATCTCTATATTATAATATATCTATCTATCTATCTATCTTGGAAGGGATACAATCATACAAGAGTGATGAAATATTCCCTTAACTTGCACAATACGGTGAGTTGAATATTTAAGAATCAATATATCCCTTATTTTCTTTGAATTAATTGGTTGAGCAATTGAATTGGGTGGATCATTTAATCAAATTAAACTTTAATCAAATTTAAGAACTAAGGGGAAGAGTTCCCCGTTTTAATAAAACCATAAAAGAGTTTTGAACGCACGATCTCTTTTAACATTATGAAGACGTAAAATTGAGTTTGTTACATCGATAAATTAATGGATGAAATAACCGAATAAAAACACAAAAAACAGAATCTTTACACACAAGTCAAACCGATCAGGACTGTTAAGCAACTTTTAAAGAAATAAGGGAAGTTCGAACCTTCGCCACTTGATATTCCAAAAAATTAAGAAAAATAAGACCGACTTATCAACTCACATCCTTTTTTTTATTACCACACAAAGACTCTCGCATGCCTTAATTTGTTTTTAATAGTCGACAAAGAGTCCAGGTTCTCTTGGAGGCATAAATAAAACTAAACAACCAACCCCAAAGAAGTTGCATTGTGTAACACTATATCCAAATGGATAATGTTTGGCTCTCTCGAAGAATTTACTTGTTTCTTCATTTACAATTAGCGCATATTTATTGTCTGAATATTATAATAAAAATCGTTCATTATTTCTATCATCATATAAAGATCATAAACAAAAACTATTCAATTTGAAACAAATGAATGTTATCAAAAAGATGCTATTTGCTATCAAAATCATTGATTGATTTAATCTTTAGATGATGATAAAAAAAAATTGAACGCTTTCAAATATTTTATTTAGATGATAAATATTTGTTAATTGTAAATGACGAAACAAGTAAATGCCTAGTTAGAATACAATGGGGATACAAGCATTATCTTATTAAAATCCCGTGACTGAAAATTAAAATCCATTTTCTTTTTCCATGCACTATTAACCCTGTCACGTCCTGACTATGAAATTTTGGTTTTCGGAAATCTGGCTCTGAAATTTGGTTTAGGGTTTGGAGTGCAAGGTGACGCGGCAGATTACGGTGGAGTGTTGTGTTGCGTTGGGGGAGATGTACAAAACTCTCTCTCTCCCCCTTTCCTTTCTCTCTCTACATGTTTTAGACAGGGATGGGTTCGTTCATTAATGCTGAGAATCCTTTAATCCTATGCGTTTATCGTTTATTGTACAGTCAATTTTTATCAGATACTATTTATATTCAATTTTAAATAATGTATTATAAAATGACAGAATTAAAAAATTCTCGAAATTCTTACAAAGAGAATCCGATAAGAATTCTATTATGTGTTGTGTGACACGTGCATTGGAGAACACACACACACAGTTACCAATCTTGTGGGGGTTTTTTTCTTGCCACGACTTCCGTGCCAAAAAACCGTTTGACACGAATTGGAACATGGAACCGACACGCAAGCAGCAGAGTGTCCAAGCACTAAACTTGGTAATCCGTCTCGCTCAAATAAAAGTTGTAGAAACGCCGATTCTGTGGGCTACGCTGGAAAATGCATTTGAAAACAGCACAGTAAATACAAGACGCATTTGATGAGTGGTTTTTATAAATGATTTAACTTCACCCGTGCAATTTCAACTACACGTCTACAACCCCAAATCTAGGCAGATTCGTACGCGTTTCGGGGCGTATATCACTCGTCACGTGACATGATCCTTGATTACATCAAGTGTTATGCTCATATGGGATACGCAATTTACCGTATCATAGTGACAACACCCGCCCCGCCAAGGCCCGATGCCAAAAGTAATCGGCCAATGGACCCAACCGGGAAGAACATGGGTGGATGAAACATTAGTGCTTCATCTCCACCCCATGTTACCTTTCTGATATCTGAAAACCTGGCCATAAGCATGCAAGTAAAACTTTCAATTTTCGGATAGAATGATAGGGTTGACGAAATAAGAATTCGATCAAGTCCCTTCAACAACTGAAACAGTATAAATCAAAGGTTCCCGACTGTAGAATACACCATGGGTATGATACTGCTAAACTAAGATACTTTTGGAGGCCGAAACGCACAAGCGACACGTATGAAGCGTCGCCTAGAAAACCATCTACTGAAGAACTGCATATTAGACTCAATGATCTCTACTTTACATATCTCTGATCATCCTAATGTTTTATATAAGGGGGGAACCACAGGGCTGCAGCACAAGCGCACATATCAGTAAGATGGGAACAAGAAATGAGCCACCTTGCAAAGGAAACTAGGCCACAAATCAACATGATTCAGGAAACAGAGACACTACCAGATTCAAACCTGAGAACAACGTCTACAACAACAACAACAACAACAAAGCCTTTTCCCACTAAGTGGGGTCGGCTATATGAATCCTAGAACGCCATTGTGCTTGGTTTTGTGTCAGCTATATGAAACTTGAGAACAACGTCAAAAATAAAAATAAAAACTCTATCTCGTTAAAAGCTTTTACTATTCCCCTTCCAACACAATAATTACTATCTACATCAACGAAACACCAAAAAAGATTGGATAATGGAAGCACTGGGAGACAATTAAACATTAATTTGGGTTTTGAATTCTTAAATTCACTCACAATAATTGAATGTGTAGGGAATGAAGTAAACACAAGGTATAAACACATTTCAAGTTTCAAAGTTCAAACTAAATAAAACCAGAATCAAGTAAGCGCAAGGCATAACGCAAGCCTGGAGGAGTGAGCCAAGCATCATATTTGAGATGATAAAGCAATAAACCTCGAACAAGATGAGCACCAATGCGGTGCAAAAGCAAAGAAATCTTAGGAGTAAAGACTTACCTCAGCTGTCTGAAATCAAGGTCCACAAGAGCACTTCTCTTGAAGTTCATCTAAGCATATCTCCAGGTACAGTATATCATATCAAAAAGGTATACCCAGTCTACTGAATTGAAATCTACAGAAAATGATGTCCGATTAGAAGCATAACAAAAATGGGGAAGGAAACTTTTATACCATCAGTAAGGCTTGTCGGTATACTCTCCAAAAGTAATAAAGTGTGCCGGAAACTGTGTTAGAGAAGACTGGAACCTCAAAGGGGCATTCTCCGAAGATATCTGTGGAACAATCATAAACCAATACAGATACAGAAGGCCAAACCTCAAATAATGAGTTTGTCAGCTAGAGAATAATACATTAAATTAAGAGCTGATTTTATTAGGAAAATAAAATGTATGTACAAGAGAGCGTTGTTCTCTGAACGCTACAGGCAGGATACACTGTTTGCTAAGATATAATCACTAAGCCATACTAACTGGTGCCTTGAACAAAAAGATCTTTACAGTCAAAGACACCAACTTAATACAAGAGCAAAATCCAAAACATCCGAAAGGTTCACTCAAAATTAAACTTGTGCAGGAGTCTACAAAAGAATCTATATAACCTAACTGTGGACCGATAGCCAAACGACTATGCATGTGTAGCGGGGACTGTGGATAGTCCAATGACTATTCTTATCACTGGTCATTTCTTGAAACAGTAATTTTGTTTCATTTGTCAATAGTATAATGAACAAGACTATACAGAGAAAACTTCAAACCATCATATTTAAGTCTGAGAGGTCATCCATTGGAATTTCAAGACCCATAAAATCATGATCTTGTAAATTGTCATCATCGATATTCAACCACGAACCCAAATCCTGTCCTTGGCCATCAATATCATCAGGGCCACCCAATACATCCATTCCCGGTAATTGCAGGTGAGACAGGTCAATGGGGTCCTCCATTACATCCATGGCAAACTCATCCTTATCCTTGGCATTGTTACTGGTAGTCATTTCACCTGACTTTGATCCAGATGGCAATGCTGGTTTAGGTTGCTCTGATGGCTTGCCAAGGAGGCCATTCACTGAAATAGATAGTTGAGTTTTCTGCTTAGGCTTCGTCTTTGACTTTCTTTCCCCCTTGACATTAGATACCGCTGGCCGACCACTTTTTGTAGTTCCATTTCTAGACTGCACCTCCCTGTTGTGCCCTTTTCCATCTCTATCCCTCTCACTCCTCTTTCCTTTTGCACTGCTCGTTAAAGAACCTCCCATACCCGATGCAGCATTTGAAGTTCCAATATTATTCCCTACGGCATCAAGTGATAATTCCCTCTTCTTGACCCTGTTGGACCACGTCTCTTCTCTACCAGCAGTTTGTTCAGTTAAGTTATTTAAAGGTTGAAGCACATCTGAAGGGATGACATTAAGATTATCCGCATTCTGACTAAACTGTGAATGGCTTGGCTGGGAACCCATGGAAGCTGCAGAAGAGATAATAACAAATATATAAAAAATGACACTTCAATCAATAGAGAATGAAAAAGAAAGGGAAGAAAATATCCAGAGTGCAGAGTCCTTCATCCCTTTATGCAATTGATTACACAAGTAAAAAAGGTCGTACCCAGTGCACAAGGCTCCCGCTTTACGCAGGGTCTGGGAGAGGTGAATGTCGGCTAGCCTTACCCCCATTTATGGAGAGGCTGCTCCCAAGTCTCGAACCCGAGACCTACCGCTCATGGGCGAAGGCACTTGCCATCACACCAAGTGCGACCTCTAATTGATTACACAAGTAATAGAAGAAAATGCATCGGAAGATAATGGAACAGAAAGCACATTCACAAATATTAATTCAGAGGCACAAGAAGAAATACCGGAAACTCTGGAGGCACTACCACCCTCTGCAATAGCCTCTGCTTGTCCCGTGCCAGAAAGAAGTATATCCCTATATAAGGGTTCACTGAAACAGCTTTTCCCTGTCTTTTCAAATTCATGACATCGGTCTAATGTCCGCTTAACAAATGCTAAGGAAGCTTGCTTGGCCATTTTATTACTGGAGCTTTTCCCACCAGTAGCATTAGGACCCCAAGAATTCTATCACAAAAATATATATGTTAAAGACAGCAAGCCAGAACTTTGACAAATAAATCAGAGCTACATCCAATACTAATAAGAACTAAAAGACAGCAAGCAAGAGCTTTGACAGTAAAGGGCAGTAGAGGGCCATCCGAAGAAACAGTCTTTATTTTTATGGATCTTATGGATAAGTTAGACGTTACAGCTCTAGGCCTCAGTTACTACACCTAAATTTGCAACCTGAAAACCTTACAAGGAGTAATTGCATGGCAAGAAAATATGACGATGAAAGGTCAAAGAAATTACCATATACTTTTCGTAAGCCATTCCAACAAGTTTGTCAAGGGCACGCTGTTCAAGCTCCCTATAGGAAACCAAATTGAATCGTTATATCATTATGAACAGAAGGTTAAGCAAAATAACCACAGGATAAAGGATTAATTACTTTTCTCGGAATTCTTCTGCTATGGAGGCAGACCTCATCAGTCTATCAAGCAAGCCTTTCTTCATTGAGACCTGGTACATAGGAAAAAAAAATGGAAACCTTAACAACAGAGTTCATAACAAAATCAAATGCGCAGCAACTAAAAACTGTTCCAATACATCCAAAACGATTAATTTCTTTAAGCTCCTCCTATCCATATCCATTCCACAATTCATTATAATACAGAGTCATTCTATATATGAAAATACCTGTTCATGGTGCTTCTCCTCTAGTTTCCTGATTTCCTCATCAATTCCTTCATCCGCCGTCTGTGTCATATCAGGCTTGACAAAGATTATGCAAAAACATGTATAATTAATAAACCATATTACAGGATAAAATATATAATTCTGAAACATTTCAGCATAAAAGGAGCGATGCACTTCTAACCCCATCAGCAGAAGGAAAAGGAAAAAAAAAAAAAGCTTCAAAAGGAAAAGCTTGTTATGATACGTCAAGTAAAACCAAAGAAAGTAAAACTAGTGTCTTCTAGAAGCATACCTCTAGTTCAGGAAAAATTCCAACACTTTGAACCTCCAGGAGAAGTTTTTCATCAAACGACATGTTACCATACTGAAATTCTGAACAGGACAGTCCAGGCATCACTGCTGGGTCTGAAAGGAAACCATTTCGCGAATGATCAAAGTCTGAATTGATTGCTTTGTTTGGGATGCCCACTACACCTGGCTCATCATATTCTGGTTTCCCAGTAATCCTATAACCATTAAAAGCAGTATGCCCAGCAAACTGAATGTTATCTTGTGATTGATAATCCAAACCATTGGATTCCACCTCTGCATCCAGATCGAAATCAACTCCATATGAATCAAATGTAAGGTCTTCATTTACACTGCTAGAATCCTCCTCTGCAATCAACGCTGCTAAGAGTCTCTGACAGAGGGGAATTGCAGCATGATCTCCAGTTCCTGGCACAAATTGTTCTGGACGAAAGTCACCTCTCCTTGGTTCACATTCAACTCTTTCATGCCCATTAGCAACAGTAGTGCTACCATCTACACTAGAAGGAACTTGAGCTGGAGTTGTCACATAAGATTCAATGTTGCCCTGGTAAATCAATAGAAAATTAGAAGTCCTCATTATCCATTGCTGACTCTTGAATATAAATGCCAAGTAAAACATCTCTGTGAAATGACAGTGTTTACAGACATCATTTTTCAAGAAAATAATAACATATATTCCTTTGTCCCCCCTAATTAAAGCAGGCTATCACCTGTTGCTTCAGGAAAGCTATGTCGGCATCAGATAGCAAACTAAAATATGGCTCCATTTGCGTCCAAAATGTACTGGAGAAGCAACGAGCTGCAGCAATAATAGAACTATTAATTCAACAAAAATTAAATGTTGGAATAGGATAAAAACAAAAGTTATCAATGAGAAAGGCACCAGAATTAACAACAGCATTTGCAGCAGCCAAAAGCTCTTCATGACCATCACCTGATCCAACTTAGGAAATTGAAACAAGAGTGAATAAGGAACAAAAACACTAAAGTAAACAAAGATAAAGTCAAAAAATTATTCCTTGAGAAATTTAAAAGTTTCCCTACCGACAAAATCTGCCGCTGCATTGATTGCTGTGTGCTTTTGACGTGTATAGGGCTTTCGATCAGAGAGTCTCCTAGTTGGCGGTCGGCCTGCCTTGCTGTGTAACAAGTTATATTTAAATATGAGTCAATCCCAAATACTAACTGTTCAGAATAAACAGGATATCATTTGACAGTCAGAAAAGTATACAGAAGTACAATATTTAAACCTTTCACTCTTGTCAAAACCAAGTCTGGAACTTCTTAGCTGTTTTGCTGTTCCAACATTTCCAACCTTCTCAACCGTCATTGGCATGAGAGTCCTTGTGGAACCAAAACCTCGCCCTGTCCTCCCTTGCCTCCGAACACCATCTCCAAGGTCTTCCCCAGTAACCAGCTTATTCTTTCTTGATGGCAAGACCAGAGTGGACACCTTTTGAACATTCTGTCCAACTTTCTCATCTATCTCATCAGTCTTTTTGCCTTTATCTCTGGATTTAATCTCAGCAGCTCCCGACTCCTCGCTTTCGGATAGTGCAGCAGAAGACAAAGGATCAGCTTTTAACTTAACCTGCTGAGTAGAACTTCCAGGCAGGCGTTTGGTAAATCCCAGCCCAATGTCACTACCAGTAACATCAGATGGACTATCCATAGGAGTGGTTTCCTCATTACTTGAAACAATAGGAACAAAATTTGATCGCCTTGCAGTACGGGAGATCTTTTGTGGTCTCTGGCCAGCCCATTGAGCAACAGGTGGAGATGAAGATCGTGCTGATGACATGCGTTTGCGATTGTTAGCTCCAACGGCAGCAGGGGGCTTGTTCGTACAATGAGAAATTTCCCAATCATTAGGAACATTTGCTCGATTAACAACTGGGGACAACTTGGGTGCCACACCTGAGCCTGATCGTGGAGCCCGAACAGAAGCATTCATCTTTGTGCTTGAGGTAGGACTCACTGAATTGAAATCATCACGGACACTTGCCCTGAAAGAAATACAGTATAAAAGAAAGACATCAACGCAGTCTTATAGAGGAAAAAACACAAATTAGTAAGTAAATAGGAGGAACTGAGGTATAGATCAATATAAGCAGTTTTAGGACCTTAACAACCACCAGAACACCACTCCAAAAGATAACCACACAAGAAAATACTATGGATGATATGCTTACTTATTAACAGCTCTGTGGTTCGCCCTTTCCTTATCTGTACCAATAGGGCGATCTCTCTTATCAGTGATAAGGGAAGGGTTGTCTGGTTCAGTCTTAGGGATGGATGAACGAAAGCCCAAGCCAGTTGGTTGCAAGATTCCGTCTGACTTTCCGACTCCAACAACTCCATTAGTGACTCCTGGCCTATAAAAATACAAGGTGTTAGCATTTCCTCTCAGGCAGTATATCACAAAAAGCAATCATCAACATAAAATAAATATGCAAAATTTCAATGAAATAACATGTCAACAACAAGAAGATTGATCCCTCAAGTCACCCAATTTAGAAAAAGTTTTCATATGACAGAAAAAACCTTTCGCTCTCTGTACTATGAGTTGAAAGCCCAGAAGAGAGTCCTGGGTTATCCATTCCAGCTCCAATCATGGGGTTCATTCTAGTCAATAATCGCAGAAGTTTAAACAATCACTACTGGTAGACAAAGGACTCCACAATGATACAGATATCCTTTGGGCAATTGTTAACACCAAGCACATCACCCTTTTTATCATCAGATAAAAGGCATAATTTTCCCAGAATATCTAAACATGGTTTTTAAGATTCAGAGAATTGTGAGTATTTTCATATCATGCACTAACATTTTTTTCCTCATTTGACCGAAAAATATTAACATGTTTTCCATAAATAATTGGACAATACAACTCAAATGGAAACATGAAAAGGAAGAAATAGTATGCATTTTACATATGGGAACAAAAACAACTTAACCATACAATTAGGTGTCATTCTTTTTTCTGATTCATCCTACCCTTTTACAACTTTAGAGGGTGCTGTCAAGTTGTGTCTACAAGTTCTCTCTTATCATCAATATCCAAATAGAGATAGTGGAAAAAAAAAGTGTAAAATTAAACCTGATATTTGCATAACCATTAGGTGCATAAAATACAACCTTGGCACTTTTAAATTCTACATATGTTGTGCAACTTCAATACAGAAATGGTGATTGAATGGTGACAAACAATAACTTGCACAACGTTTAAAGAGCTACTACATCCACTACGGATCCTCAGTGGAAGTATATAAACAATAAGCATAAGTTTGTTAGCATTGAAAATCACTGAGACTTTTTTACCAGTAAGTTGACCTAAAAGGAATTACTTGTTCCAAGTTCCTTTTAGAAATAAAAATCTAAATACTGCGAAAATGCCTATCAAATTAACCTAAAACATGGAGGGATACAATATTTTAGGCAGTCTGTCCTTATGGGAAGAGCAAATTGTTATTTAAGAAGTCCTACCTGAACCCATGGGAGTCAATATTTGACCTTGAACGCACATCATTCACAGGCCTCTGCTGCATTCCCTGTTTAGTTTCACGGTAGCCATCAATTGGTTTACTGGATACCATACTTGGAGAAGCATCTGGCTTTATCCCAGAACGCTTCTTCTTCATTTTTGACTTTTCCCAGCCATCAACACTATTAGATAAATTTCGATCCTCTCCCTGAACTGCACCACTACTTGCAAGCCTCAGCATTTCCCTATCCCTGTCTACAATCAAGGATGGCCGCACAAGAGAAGTACTCCGCACATCCATCTACAGTTATCATAATTATGTCAGTCTTCCCTTAGAGGAGTTACAATGCAGCAAATACTAATAGTGGAACTTAAAGATCACAACAGACATTATCAATCAAACTTGCATGGATTACCAGGTGGGATGCACATGATTAAAAGCACAAAAAACCAATGCAATGTGCAACACAGTCCACAGCTTGAGAACAATAAAACAGTGCTAACTAGCATGCATAATCATAATTATATGCAATCATGTATGCACTACAATTCCGAGAAAAATGAAAAAGAAGTAGACGACATATCAAAACCTACTAAAACGCACAAAAACAAACTAACTTTCAATACCATGTCCCCACTCATTCAAGTAAAGAAATCTTCCCATGCATGACATTTCAAAGTGATATTTAAGTGGAAGAAGTTCCATATTAGATCAAGGTTAACCATCCGAATAAGCCCATAAACCCAGTAGCAAAATACAGTAATCAAAACAGCTTACGATGATTTCTAAGGAATCTTTAGACAAAATGCAGTTTAGTCAGAACCACAACTACAACAGTTCCTAGAAGCTAATTCTAAACAAAACATTCATTACAGTACTCAAGATATTACTACTATTATAATTATTATTATACGAACAAGGCGAGTGAAGAAAGCAAATGTAGCAGAATTTTTCCAAAATACAAACCCTCATATCCACCAAAGCAGTACGAGTGCGTTTGTTCGGGATAGAGTTCTTAGTCCTTTCTTCAGACTTTTGCTGCTCAAGTTCGAAACCACCAGTGACAGTATGACTCTGAATACCAATCTTGCCCATATTTGTCCCCAGGACTGACCGATCACTCGATAACACTGAACTAGAACGTTCATTAGAAAAGCCTTCTGTTCTTGATCTCTTCTTAGATGGTACGCTTGGGAAAACCTTGTTGAACGCAGATAAGTATTCATTGAAAGTTTTTACACGTTCCCTGTAAAATTATTTGATGTCATGCAGTAGTTAAAAGTTACAACTACAAACCAAACTGTAAAATATACACAAATATACCTGGCCTTAATAGAGCTTTCACGCAGACCAGCCTTAACTCGTTTTATTTCCTCCGGAATAGGAGATGGTAGCAACTTTCCTTTTACTGAAGCAGATGGAGATTCATCAGGTGAAACGTTAAGAGCGACACTCACAAATCTTTTCAAGTCCCCTTGTCTGCCAGACTTGTGCTCTGGAGCAACCAACTTTTGATCAAAGCGCAAACACTGGAAGAAGTTCGTTACATCTCCTTGTGTTATTGCAGACGTGCTTCTTGACATGTTTGGAAGTGAAGATAAAATTGGATTTTCAATGCTTTCACGAAAGCTACCAGATCTATCCAATGCAGTAGCTATGTGGGATCCTCGCTGTCCACTGGTGTATAATGGTCTATCCGGGCTACCAGACGAGAGATCAAACTTGCTAGAAGTTGCCATTGCATCAATTTCCACACTCTATCCGTATCACAAAGCCATAAAATACAGAGGTGCATGACAATGACAGGGCGCAACAGCACATAAAACCCAAACTCTCACCTGAAACAGATAAGGATCATAAGATAAGAAGCCAAATCCCTGTTCTTTTTTTCCAAACTAATGATTTCAACTATCATAGGATGGGTAGTCATTTTAAATCCTTAATACTGATATAAAAGAAAGAACGATGGGAAACATAACACGAAGTAGCCAATTGCGAAAAGTATAAACAAGAAACTGGACTGAGATGCATAAACCATACAGAACATTTATTGTGGATTTCTTCGTTCAAGGGTAAAACAAGTCGAAAAGATCACAGTTAAAAGTAAGAGTACATTTAATTTCAGAGTACTGGTCCACAGACTACTAACCTAAACATAAAGGATTAAAACAATCTTGCAAGCTCCACAATCCAAAAGGAAGAAGGAAAGAAATTAAGCCTTCCATTAGAAGTTCAATCTTGTTACATCCATAAAAGCAAATTCATAAAAGCAAATTGGCGAAGCAACCCACACGAGAAGGTTTATCAACATATCCTAATATATAAGCAACCAAGCAATTAGCCGAGAAACCATGAGACCATCATAAACCGGACACACAGTGAACAAAAATAAATGCAACTGATGTGTATGCCATATGAGAATTTTGCACAGGAACCGAAACCTAAGAATATCATTATGGGGTGCAGCTCCATTAATGTTAACATTATTCCGATCAACACAATGATATTTGATTAAGATCAATAAATTCATGCACAAAACTTGACATGTTACATATATACCAAAGACAATTACTACCTTGTACTCAAGAATTAACTTTTTAGAAGGAGATCAAACACTTACACACAAAAAAATAAATTTAAAAACTAGACTAGCAGAATCAGATAAGTTGACAGTAAATAGAAAGCATTCTAACTTCAACCATGCACAATTTACTGTACTGGGGTAATATTCCATTCCTGGGAGTTTGACAATGATTTGGTTAAGCTTCTTGAGGTATGGCTTCTCCAGGTAACTCCTTAGTTACCCAATCAAACAATCACTAGAAAGATTATCCTTTAGTCAAACTCCTCCCAGGTCTATCCCTGTACTTCCACAGTTTGATACTAATGTTCATTAGGATAAGAACACACCAAAGATCTAAGGAAAATCATATCAGCTAACATTTAAATGAAGTCATTGCTGATACCATTTAATTATGAGTTTCGAAGTTCCGGTTGACCCTCCATAAGCAGCTCATTGACCAATAAATAGTAACTAAGTTAATGAACAAACTAAATGGAACAACACATGATATCACCAACACCCATATGATGGCTCAATTAACATTCGTCATGATCTTAGAATAATCAAAATCGACTCATCATTCTATTTAACCTTAAAAAAAAAACTTGAGATAATTAAATCAGTACAGCTATCTCGAAGTGACAATGTAGTCACCATAGGTACCTTTTACATTTATCATCTTCCCTTCTTTGGAAATAAAAAATTCCCTGACTACACTTTTTTCGGAGGCGGATTATTCCAGCTGATGTATGATTCGTAAGTTCAATGCCTTTCGCGCTAAAATTTCACTCAACGAGACAACTATTTCCTAATATGTCTTCAATTATTCTCCATTCTAATCAACAAAATGTACCTGTCAAAACAGATACTCGGTCACATAAAATTTTCAAATTTTGGTCTACTCTTAAGATTTTTGAGCTTCATTGCTTTCCAAGCTCAAATTTATCTATAATTTCACTTCAATAATAAATAAATAAAACCTTAAAAACCCCAAGAAAATTTCGCAGATAGAAAATGGAAACCCTAAAAGTTGAATGCACGAAACCCTAGATAAATTAAGCATTACAAACCTTCAATCACACTTCAAAAATTAAACCCAAAATTCGACACACAGAACTTAAATCAAGCAAAACTAAATCGAAACCGAAGTTCAGAATTCAAATCTTATACCTTTCAAAAATCGGAGACAATGATGTCCAATTGGCGGCCAAGCAAGCGCGATTCTTTGATTTGGGGATTCGTCGATACGTCCGGAATCGAATATTCCAAGGGTTCTAATTAGAGTTCCGAGCTCGAAATCGAAGGTTCGTACAAAGCCAAGGAGGACGAAGAAGAACCCTGTGTTTTGATCGGCAATGGAAATGGGGGACGGTTAAATTACTGTCATACCCATGTTTCGTTTTACCGATGAGTTAAAGTGGGCGTTGGGCGGGGGTAATTTGGGAACAATGATGTTGTCAAAACAGCTACAGAGAGTTTTCAATGAATGTATGTAAACATATATGTAATAATATATGCATGTATGATTGTTTGTAGGTTTATATATATACATATAGGCACATGGGATGAATTTACAATTTAGGAAGCGACAATTATTGAGCAATTTGAAGAAACAAAATATTAATTTATGAAAAGATATAATTAAAATCAAGTTTTTTCAGTTAAAAAAAGTGATGTAATTTTGGTTTTCGATCATGATGTTGATTGAGTGATGGTTAACTAAAAACGTTACAGTATATGTTTCGCTCGAATTAATAGCACATCACATAGTGTCAGAGAGTATCAAAATATAACACGTATAACCAATGTTACACAATATGTACGGGTTTTTCCGTACGATTTAGGATTGAGATGTTTGTGCATTTATTATAATTTAAGTTGATTTGTTGTTGTTACACAAAAGGTAAACTAAAATTTCATATCCTAATCTTTATAGTAAAAAAAAGGTCGTACCCAGTGCACAAGGCTCCCGTTTTACGCAGGGTCTGGGAGAGGTGAATGTCGGCTAGCCTTACCCCCATTTATGGAGAGGCTGCTCCCAAGTCTCGAACCCGAGACCTACCGCTCATGGGCGAAGGCACTTGCCATCACACCAAGTGCGACCTCTCTAATCTTTATAGTAATATCATTAAAATGTTTACCTAGTTTTGGACAAATTTTCTTATTTGGTTTCATTGGTACATCCCCCTTCAAATGGTAAAATATGCAGTTTCACCATCACTGCTTACTGTATTTTATCGCTTTAAAATTATCCTTACACCGCCCAAAGTAGTTCAACATGAAAAATGATCGGGACATCTAATTACAACAAAACAGACAAAAACGTTTCAAATCGTTGCAAAACAATGTCAGAGTAGTTTAGCATAGGAAATGTTCTTTTTTCATTCATTCGTACAAGAAGTAAAGGGGCAGTTCAGATTCATTTGGACTTTAAATTGTCCTAAACTAAATAAAGCACGAGTCCCTTTAACTCGCGATAGGCTGTGCCATCCGACCATTACAACGTGACAAGAAACAACGTTTGATGTTTGCTTCGCATGTCACTCTTCCTATCTAACCGTGTCATGCAATGGAGGACTTGCATGAAACAAGGACGCTTGGATTGCTATGTGTCAAACTAATCATATGAATTCAAATGAAAACGTTAAAATATGTGGCAACATGCAAAAAATTTGGAACTCAGCCACCTTGTCAGTTCCTGTCACAGCCCGTCCCGGAATTTTAATTCCGAGGACGTGAAAAGACCAAAATACCCTTAAGCGGGACTAAGGGGCGAAAATTTAACAATTGGATTTACATTAGTATGTTTAAAGTTGTGTTTGGGATTTAAGTAGGGCCTCCTACCCTGATTCCCTCCCCAATTCCCGTATACTGTCATTCACTCTCTCTCCTCCCTCACGAATCTCTCTCTCTCTGTCACTCTTCTTCTCCGTTCGAACAAACCAACCACAAAACAACCTTAAACTTCCACCAACGACGGAGTTAAGACCACCATCGAACTCCTGGAGACTCCACGATCACGTAGACACCAATTTCAGGTAAGTTTTACTTCGGAAAACCTAGATTCTAAACTCCCGTGAAAGTGCACTGTTCATGATCTTCGAATTGACTTTGTTTTAGGACAATCCAAGCTCACAGTGAGCTTAGTGAGGTTCCAAGGAAGCTCGGAGTGCTTCGTTGGAAGTTTTTGGACGTAAGAACACGGAGATCGATAAGTTCAAAGTTTGGCCGGAGCTTTCGAGGCATTTTCCGGCGAATCCCCGGCGAGTTAGGCGTCGAGGTAGGTATCAATCTCTTCGTCTCGTCAAGTACTACAACTTTCCTTTTTGTTTCACTCAATTTTGTTGAGTATTGAAGAAGTTATACTCATTTGAAAAAATACCCAGTTTTCCGGCGACCTCCGAGGCTTTCGAGGCAGTTTCCGGCCAAACTACGGCGAACTAGGTGTTGGGAAAGGTACCATTCTCTTTGTCTCTTCAAGGGCTACAACTTTCGTTTTTGAATCACTTGATTTCGTTGAGAAATGACAAAGTTATGACAATTTGAAAAACTGCCCGGAAAACGGCCGCCGGAAAAACCAGTCCGGCGACCCAAGGAAGAAGAAGGTGCTACAGTTAAAAAAATAAATAAATAAAATTATTTTAAAAATATGTCGACGTCCGTGACGTCGAGTAGATCACCGTGGTATATTCATATACCCAATTTGAGCACCGTATGAGAAAGTTATTAAGGATTGTTGGTTAGGTGTTCGAATAACGTTTTATAGTTTTGGTGAAAATGTGAATTGACGATCCGACCGTTGGATCGTTACCAAACTTTGATACGTTGTAATACGTAATATTTGAGGATTATTGGAACTTACGGATTGGGAATCCGAGTTTACGGATCTTCCGGAATTGGAATTGTAAGTTCATAAAATAAAATGTTAACCGTCACTTAGTTTTGGAAATTGACGGAGATCCGACCGTTGGATGGTAATGAAATTTTAGGAAGTTGTCCTAGAGGTATATTGTGGACCTCTGGAAGTTATGGATTTAAAATCTGAGTGGCAGATCTTCCGGATCGAACTACGTAGTGACGTATTTTATATAAGTTATATATTCTATCACTATGAATTCTGAGGTTGGAATTAATTATTGTTTTAGGCGCCGATCGTCATGACGCCTTGGCGTATTGTGCTAGGGAGTTGTAGGGCGAACTCCAGGTGAGTGGGCAGTTTTGTTTTCCGTATACATATATACTTGCCGTTTCCCAGAAATTGAAAATGCATGAAATTATGCTTTTAATGAAAATGTATAAAAGTATATGAGATATATTAGTTGAAATGCCATGCATAAAAGTATATGAAAAGTATATAGAAATGTGAATCGAATTGCCATGCATGAAATGATATGAAAAGTATGAATTGAGATATGATGCATATGAATGAATGGTGCGGCGGACGCACAGGTGAGTATCAGGTGAGTATTTAATTACTGTTATGATGATGTTGATATATATTGAGCTCAAATCCTGCACCATGGTTTAGTGCTTATAGTATTCACCGCATCGCACGCTCGCCTTGGATCCAAGTAGATGCTAGTCGTACAGTCCACGCGGAGTGGGTACGACAGGCCAGTCGCGAGAGTGTTTAGTGAGATTCCGACTGGTGGGTGACCTTAGATTATGTGCACAGATGATTGATGAGAAAAGCACTAGAGCGTAACTTGTGTGCAGAAGGCCGGACGGGTCACAGAGGTGACTCCGGTAGAGTGATAGTGATAGATTTTGAGCTCTAGGTTCAACCGTACAGGGCTATTAGAGGGCCTCCGGTTGATTACTTTCTTGCACCTGATATGATTATTATTGATGCATCCATATTTAACTGTTGAATTAGACATGGCATGGCATGATTGATAAAGAAAAATGTTGAGATAGTAAAAATGAAGTTTTGAGAATATATATGTATATTTATATTTTACATTTCTGGGAAAGTATACAGGTTTTACGGAGAGGGGTTACAACGTTTTGAGAAATGTTTGGATTTGGAAAAGAATTGTTTTACTGACCCACTCAATTTTGGTTTTGCGCCCCTCCAGGTTCAAGAATCACAAAGGTGTGGTGACTACGAGGAATTCGACGGTGTTCTGACAGATTGGACAAATTAGGACTCACCTTCGGGTGTATCAATTTAAATTGTATCTTAAAGCTTCCGTACTGTGCAAATGGTTACGTCACTCTCACGTGACGGCCAGCATGCCCTCCTTCGGGACGGGGTGTGTCAGTTCCCGCCACTCTTTGCATTAGTCTGGTGGTTTGTTTTGTTCCAAAAGAAAAGCCTTTTGGTGGCGATTGTTGTATTGAATCTTGGTTATCTACGATTTGGTAAAAAAAAAAGTTATATATTGAGGACAGGGGAAAAGTTTTTCTCTCGTACCGTCGAGGTTTCCTAGAAAGGAAAAAAAAAGGGCATAAAGAAGCCAAACTGCACTCAGCTGCAATCAATTTTATATGAAATAAGAGATATAAGTATTGGGAAGATATGGGACTATAAGATTTCAACATCAATAACATCCTCAAATTTAGGACTCAAAACCTCAGTTTTTTCATGTTTCGGCAACCATAATTTTCTATAGACAATCAAGAGAAGAAAGATCAAAAACTGCCACAAGTGAAGGCACATTTTGAATGCCAACCTGGGTAGCCAAGACCTTGACAAAACTCTCACACCTACTGGGATACAAAAAGCTCTCAAGATCTACTAGTACTACTCCTACAAAACCAACCCATCCAACGGGTCATCTTGAAGCGTCTTCAACATTACTACTGTACACTGTTCTGCAAGATGTAGCTGTCAACTGTGTTGATCATGTGGGTGAAAACCTAACCGGAAAAAACAAGCAGGTGCGCCCAGCATGTTCCTAGAAGGGCTCTATCCGCCTGTCATACTAGATGCTACGAGTCACTCTGACATGACATCCTCTGATGCAGCAAGTACCTGAGCTTCCATGTCGTACGAGGAATACTTAGTGGAGTAGTCCAGTACAGAATCACCTGGACAGGTACACAGTCAATTATTACAGGCACATTACAAACAAAATTTACAGTCAATGAGACCAGTTCGGGTCAGGATTTATTACTTTGAGAAGAGTCAACAGATGTCCGGTTCAGCGATGTACTTCTCTTTAGATCTGTAACAGTAATGAGCATAATCCAGGAAATTTAGCAGATGAAGTTGCTCATTAAATTAAAACTTGGTAGCATATTGCGCATAGAAAGACAAAGGCAAAAAGAGATGTGAAGAAAATTGTACTGCGGTACAATGCATACCAGATGAATGATGCAACCCTTTGACAGCCTCAAAATTCTTGTATGTGTAGCCAACAAAACTGAGATCTTTAGGAGTCAACAACGTCTGCAAAGAAAGATACAGAACAAGCACAAAGTGTCACGGAAACTACTTTACATAAATCAAAACTAATATAACACAAATTTTCTTTCCGTGTTTTCCCTTCTCCAAGAGTAAAAATGTTCCTTCATACAAGATCATGAAAATAAGCACACTGGGCCTCCAAAAAAAGATTAGTTGATATTTTAGATAAGTTCAAACCCCCAAAAATATAAAGAAAATTTGTTTTATTAATCTAGTATGTCAAAATGTACCCTTTTACACGTTTACATTACAAAAGCCATCACCAGATTATGAATTGACATTGCGCCACTTTAAGTCTCCGTTCTCTTTTGGCTATGAGAAACATACCTTTCTCATTGGTCCAGATCCAGTTCTTCCAGGTGCTGGTGGATCCACCTGCAGCACAGTTGAATTTTAGACACAAGGGCACAATCCAGTACCTCACTACTAGCGACTAGTATAGGTTGGATGTTTTCGTGAGCAGTAAGCCAACAGGAGTATATTTGACACCTTACCTCATCATACTTCATAAAGTTTTGAGTATCAAGTTCATCATTGACCTCTGGTTTAAATGCTGCCTCCGTCTCGTAAAGTCTGTCCCATGCAATATCTCTAAACCAAGGATGAGCCTGATCCATTTAAAATACGAGGACTTATTTCATTAAGAATGGCGTAACAATGTGAGGGTAAAACCATAAAAGTCATCGGAAATAGAGGGGAAATACCTTAATTTGGTCTGCTCTACAAAGTCTATTTTCAACATCGCAAAGGAACCTACCAATCAGATCCTTTGCTTCAGGTGTCAACCTTGCCTCGACAGGAAATTTCAAGTGATTTTTCCAATGTACAATCTGCATACATTCTTCCATATGTCAGGTTATGCACGAGATATGAATATATCAATAAAACTTCAGTAAGAAATGTAGAACTCCGCAAATGTTACTGCTTCAGAAACAATTTGTAAATTCAACTTTCTTGAGAAAAACATGTGAGACAAACGCAACCTGGCGAGTTATGTTGAAATTAATCTTACCGCAGTCTAATTATTGTGAAAACCATGCAACAATGAAAACTATGAGATAGTATACACTTGAATCAGAAAATATAAGCAAAATATATGCTGACTACGTAACCTTTCTGCATGTTGTGACTGGATCATCAGAGTAAAATGGAGGATAACCAACCAGCATCTCATACATTATTGCACCAAGTGACCACCTACAAGCAGGAATTGGGTGAGAAATAGAATTCACAAACGAACTTGCTCACACATATTTTAGCTACTATAACAATCCAATAATGCTCCAACATCGTGGACTCACCAGTCACACTCCATGCCGTATCCTTTCTTCAACAATACCTCTGGAGCGATGTAATCTGGAGTTCCAACTGTAGAAAATGCCTACCATTGAAACAAAGGAAATGGCATTAAACATTGCATCTTAAATCTACAAAGTGTTAATTATATACAAATAGCAAATGTTTGTTGCTTGCACTTTATCCAGTCAAGAATCTAAGAGTAAGACTGTAAGAGAGGTGAAATTCCACATTAGAATATAAAGGAAAGGATCATTTGACTACCAATTTTCTCCTGTTTATCTGCCAATGCTGAAGTTGCTCAAGCGGGCTTTTCCAGCGCCTCCCATTTTTGGTTTCTGGGAAGGATTCATCAATATCCATTGTCTCATGCAGGTTCTCATCATCAAGCACTTCATTTTCATTTATGGAAGATAAATTTGAGCAATCAAGAGGCTTGCAAAGACCAAAATCAGAAAGCTTCATGTGACCATTTTTGTCTAACAGAAGATTGTCTGGTTTTATGTCTCTGAAAAAAAAACATAGACGTAGCAAATGCAAGAGTTACATTATGTTATCTTGATGTACCATTTATTAATATAACAAACTTTAACAGAATGCAGCTTCCAATGTTGGCAAGCCTGTGACCAAAAGGATAAACCAACCTGTGAATGTAGTTATGTTTGTGAATAGATTCTATGGCCAGAACACATTGCGCAATGTAAAATCTAGCAATAGTTTCAGTCAAAGACTCTTCTCTGATAAGCAAAGTCATCATGTCACCACCAGGTAGATATTCCATGACTAGATACAAGTATTCAGCATCTTGAAAGGAATAGTAAAGTTTCACAATGCAATGACTGGCAACCTCTGCAAGCAAATTCCTTTCAGCTCTAACATGTTCAACCTACATTGTGGATAGACAACCAGTGAGTACAAGATTTACACTAGAAGTAATGGATGAAAATTTGAGAACCTTAAATCGAAGTTTCTCTTTCCCTTAAGGTAAAAGAGGTTAAAATTAAATCAATTCTTGATGTGCAATATAATTACCTGCCCCCTACTGAGCATTTCTGACTTCTTCAACTTTTTCATGGCGTAAATATTGCCAGATTTCTTCTCCCGGCACAGTCTAACCTGCAAAATATTAATAGAAATATTGTATCAAGAAATTATCAAACATAAACCAAAGAAAAAAACTACAACAAAGAAAATGAAACAAATAACCATCATATTTGTTTTAGAAGTAATCAGCATACTGTAACAGTAAACAACTCGAGGTCAAGGGTAACAGAAACAAGCTTATACTCACTTTCTCTGTATATTAATAAGTTGAAAAGGAAAATAAAAATCTTTTAAACCTAGCACCCATGCAAGTTATAAGAGATGCATATATCTACCTCTCCGAAGGCCCCTCTCCCAATTATGGCCAAAAGGTCAAAATCATCTACACAAATCTTGTGCCTTTTAAGGCGAATGTATTGAGTCTCTGTGCGCTCCAAATCCTTCAACAAATTGATCTGTTCCTCCTCTGGTACATGTTCAGATGCCAACTTCTTTTCCAGCACCGAGCGCCTGGAAACAATGAACACATTTGAGGGCACATATCAAGATCAATGACAGAACCTTTATCCTCTAACCATTGCCAATTTCACTTTAATTACCAGTGGTGGAGGCACATCACAACTAGTGGACTCTAAAAACATATAAAAAAACAAGAACATATTCAGCACTAGCGATATAAAGTTTATGTGGCATGAATGCAACAGTGTTTGAAGTAAAACTGCCATAATGGACACTGGAAACAGAACAGACCAGGCATTAAAGATAACATTGATGAAAAACACTGCAGAAATAACCATATTAACAGGCGATTCTATTGCCTAAGAACTCAACATTTTAGCTTTTTCAGCAGTCTCTTCCAGTGACTCTACCATGCACAAGTTGAAATATTAACACAAATTATACCTGATGGAATGGCATGAAAAAAACACAAACGAGAAACAATCCAAACAATCCATAAAGAACCAATGACAACCACCACCCATTTTATGTTATGAAACATGTCTCTCGCTTATTGCTAAACCAAAGGGGCTCAATCACACAGTCAACTGCCAAATAATGCACAATAAATATCTTTCTCAATTTGTTCACAGTTGCACCCAGTTTAGTTCTTCTAAGGTGATTAAAGTCATAACAAACCAATAACAAAATACTTTTCCAACTAAGGATTTGCGGATTATATAATTACGAAGCCTCAAAACTATAATTATTCATCACTATGCAGTTCTTTACTAATTTGCAAATGTCATTCTGCAAAATCAGCACCCAACATCTTATCATGTTTGATATTCCTTATAAGGTTGCTATCATCATTAGCTCCCCTGGTAGAAAAAATCTAAACACAATTCGACTTGGTGATAAGCATAACTTAACAATATTTACTTCCACTTCATGAAAGCATATGCATTCCAAAAGCACAATGATTTGGGAATTTCCAATGAACCCCATTTCCCAAAAAACCAATCAAATTCCAACTCTTTCCAGGAATGCAATTCCAGGGCAGTCAAAGAAACACCGTCATTTCTCAGGAAAATCAAGGCTTTCCATTCCAAACAAAAGAAAAAAATCAAATACCCAGAATAAAAAACAATTCTGATCGCAAAAACACCAGCTGAAATTGCAAAAACAAGAACTGGGCAAGACAGAAAGATCCTTAAAAACAGTAAATTCAACAAAAGGAAATGTCTTTTTTCCCTACCTCTGTTTACGGTCCTGGATGTGCTTCATCTGAGCCTTGTAGTGGCTCTCTATGAACTGCTTTGCCGCAGCCACCCTCTCCAGGGTCAGGCTGGACCCCACCTGCCCGTTCTCCTCCTCCTCCGCCGCCTCCACCGCCATGGGCCCCGCCTCGTCCCTCTCCATCTGCTTATGGTTCTCCATCCTCTCCCTCTCTACCTCTCTCTATGGCTTGAGAAATTTGGATGATTGTGACGAGTGACAACGAAGCGAAAACCCCGGGACGAATGAGAATACGAGACCCCTCCAAAAACAGCTTCTACAACCAATTTTTATATTTCTCTCCACCAACGTCTAATTTGTCTGTCTGACACGTGTCCATGTCCAGTTGGCTGTTCCTGGGTTCCTACAGTTGGACTCTCTTGGGTGGCATTTCTCAGGTGGTACAGCATGTTACAACTAAATATATTCTCTTTATATTAAACAAAAGGAATTAACCAAATTTTATTCCTTAATTGACAAATAATCATATTTTGGAAAGAAAAAAAAATTATAATTAGTCATATACTTAGAAAGTGATTTGTAAATTCATGTTCTTAATGCTGCAATGGCAGCACAAGATTTCCATATGTGAAAGTCTCGAAAAGAAAAATTCACGTGTGAAAAGATGCACTTGAGAAATTTCTAAAAATGGAAATCAAATGTTTCACAGTTGTTGGTAGGCAGGTTTCGAAGTGAAAGACTAAATCTGCACAGTTTTTAGCTGTCGTAGTCTTATCTGCTGCCTCACTAATGAAAGAAATCCAATCTGTCAATATGGTTGGAGATTGCCAGAGTAGAATTTGAAACCAAACATTTTGCAGGTGCAATGAACTTTCTTGATGAGAGTCATTTAATAAAAGGAAAACATGATGGTTCATGAATTAGGGGAGGTAATGGAAATGCTTCCAAAATGTTATAACTTGCATGTCAAGGATGTATATGCGTGTCCGTTCATATGTATTTGTCTTTACAGGTGGAATGTATACTTTTGTGTCGATCTGTATCATTGTGGAGGAATGTATACATATTTTTGTCTATCTGTATCATCACGGGGGAAATGTATATACTTTTATGTCTATCTGTATTGTCACAGAAGGAATGTATACACCTTTGTGTCTATCTGTATCGTCACGGGAGAAATGTATGCACATTTGTGTTTATATGTTTGTCATGAAAGGAATGTATTGCACTTTTTTCTCTGTTTGCGTCCTCACGAGAGGCATGTATGCACTTTTGTGTCTATTTGTAACATCACAAAAGAAATGTATACACATTTGTCTCTATTTGTATTATCATGAGAGGGATGTATACACCTTTGTGTCTATCTATATCACCACGGAAGGAATGTGTACACATCTGTCTCTATCTATATCATCACGGAAGAAATGTACACACCATCTCCATCTCTATCTGTTTCATCACAAAAGGAATGTATACACCTTTGTCTCTATGTGTCATCTCGCTCATCAACTTGATTACGTAAGTGAGGAGAAAGATCGACACAAAAGTGTATACACCTGAGACACCAAATTAATTTCCGAATTAGAGAGAAAAATCTACTTGTGCCTTGATGTTACCATGTTTATAATTAGTTTTATAGATTTTACTTTCTTAATGATAATCTTCTCTTCAGTAAATGATAATCAAGCAAAAACAGAGAAGCTCTGTTAGATTGCTGCAAATGTATTGAAAGACTCAGATATTGTAAATCGACTTCAAAATGCAGACTAGCAAAAATCCAACTGGCCAAAAACATCTCACAACAAGGTTTCCACCACTCCCTAAACTACAAGCAGAAACTCTTACCGATCCACGGTTGATATCTTTGTCTTTCTCATCACGATATAAGTGAACAAACAACCGGTTACAAAGCCGATTCTACCCGAAACAAGACTAATGGAAATTAGAAAAATATAGTGAAGGTGATTAATTAGTTGATAAAATAGACTTGTAGTCTCCCCCATCAACGCCAACTTGCCAAGAAAGAGTTGGTTAAAGTCAAAGAGCAGAGGAGACCAGGCAAGCAAATAGTTCAAAGGTGAGAGGAAAGTGGGGGCGGAGCAACACAAACCATAATTGTTGTTGTGACAAAGTAGGGGAAACCGCGTTGCAATCAGTTTGTTGGACAAAGAGTTGATAAAACCTATGACTGCAAAAGAGATTGTAAGGTTGAAAATTAGGAATTTATGATGCGCCATCACAAATTCTGTGGAACTTGGTATTTTGGGGCCTGCCTAGTTTAATAGCCTGATATGGCCAAGAAGTAAAAGTTACATGATTGACAACGGGAAGAATCTTACTTATCTTCCATTGGATTTTTTTTTCTGTGTCTATCTCTCGAAACATGAACAGCTGAGCACAATACGAGAAGGATGCAATGTTGTACACAATTGGTAACATAAGTGATCAAGCACGTGACATGAAAGATGTTAGGTTGTATACAACCGGTGATACAAGAAATTGTCTCTTGACAACCTAATTTGAAAATTTTGAGTAGGATTATAGTTATTCAAACTTTCGAGTAAAAGAGATAGGTGCACAATTATATACAATTTGTGATATGACATATTTCCTCTTCAATAACATAATCAAGAATCTTATCTAGTTATATTGCTCAAACGTGCATCTTAAAGAGATAGGTACAAAGTTATATACAACTAGTGATACATCAACTTTTCCGTCGACAACATAATTAAAAATGTCAGTTGGTGTCTGGTGACACGACAAATATCTCTTCGGCAATGAATCATAAATGAAAATCTTGACTAGCTTTATAGTCGCTCAAATTTCATAATCAGAGGGAAAGAAGCACAATCACAATGATATACATTTAGTGATACGACAGATTTCACCTTCAACAACGTAATAAAAGGTCTCAGCTAGTCTTATGGTCGCTCAAACTTCAAAATCAGATTTAGAATTTCAGATAGCAAAAAAGAAGGAAATATATTTAGAATGGATAAATAGACAGAAGGTGGGTAAATGCTTATATACACAAAGCTAAACAAAGCCAAACTACATATATCTCTGTATCATCTTTTACTCTATAATATGACTAGAACAAAAGCTGAACTCAAAACCCCCCCCTATAGAAAACCAGAACCGGTGCCTGCAGCAAGGCCATGGTGCAACAAATTATGAGCAATATGATCCCTCGCCTGCACCGATCCCGCCGACCTCAGACTATTTTCCGGCGTTGCCAAATCGTCGAAGAGCTCGAACTCGAACTCGGGATCGAGCTCATCATTCCTCATTGCACAAATATTGTGCAAAACACAGCAAGCCCCAAGCACAACAGGCAAGTCCTGCAGCTTGATCTCAGTCCTCTTCTGCAAGCAAGACCACCTCCCTTTGAGCTTTGCAAATGCATCTTTAGCCACCCCTTCCACTTCTCCGATTTTCTCATTGAATGCGTGCTGGGTCCACGTCAAGTTCTGGTGGGTGTAAGGAACCAGCACCCAATCCATCAGTGGAAACCCAGCATTTCCCACAACCCACACATCCTTCAAGAGTCCTCTGTTTGCTCTCTGGAACAATGCAGACTTCTCCAGCACCTGATCGTCCGGCATCGAACCCGGCCAGCCGATGCAAACGTCGGTGAAAACGCCTCTCGGATCGACAATCCCTTGAACCGTGACCGAATACGAAGTTTTCTGGTTGCGTTCCGTGTGCCGCTTGTTGAAATACGCAGCCACATTCACCTTTGGAGCAATAATTGATATGTGGGTGGTGTACATAGACCCAGCAACATTTGGAATTCCGGAAGTGGCCTCGAACTCCTCCTTGATCTCCTGCATCCTGCCCTCGTCCGGCCACTGGAGAAACTTGTGCATCAAGACAGTCTTGATGGCAACGCAAACTTCCAGAACCAGCTTGTGGCAGGTGGAGATTCCCAGCCCGAAACGTCTCGAAACCTCCCGGAGCGGCTCCCCGGTGGCAAGCCGATATATGCACACCGCCACGCGTTGGCGCACCGGAATTGCCTCGCGCAGCATTGTGTTCTTCTTAAAAACCGCCGACTCCAGCTCCGCGCAGATCATGTCGAACGTCCCCTTGCTCATCCGAAAAGCTTTTCGAAACTCCTCCTCCGAAACGTCTGGGCGGCCCAAATTCTCCCACCACACCTTGGGCCTGTCCTTCACCCAAAGCCTCCGGTGCGGACCCGGGATCATAGCACTCGAACTCGGGTCCGGACCGGCCGCGGAGGCCTCAGCTGCAGCAGCGGCCGCAGCGGAAGCGGACTGTCGACTCCGTTTCGCCCTAGACAGGTCCGATTCGTCGGATTGAGAATGGTGCTGCTGAATATCAGAGTAGTACTCCTCCATAGCTCGAGTCTTCTGCCTGTGATTATCTTCAAGCATCGATCTTTCCTGCTGGGCTTCGACCAAGTAGCTCTCCTGCTCCAGCTTCTCCTCCTCGTCCAGCAGAATCAGCGAGGCAAGTATGTCGCTCATTGCCCCCGGAGCAGCTCCAGCGCCGCCACCATGGTTGTTTCCATCGTCCTTTCTCCGCTTCTTCAGGGTGTGATTCCCGCCATTTATGTCGAATTCGTCCATGTCAGACAACAGGGTATAGAAATGGGAGTCATCTTCTTGACTAAGTAATGGGAACGGAGTAATTTCCATGAAAGGTCTGAACTTTGGTGGTGGGATGAAAGGTGTTTGATGAAATGCCTGTGTGAACTTGAATTTCGAGCTTGGAGGTGAACTGGTAGATATGGAGATGTCGGCTGGAGGAGTTGAACTGGAGGGGAGGCATATTTATATCTGTGCGAGGCGTGTATGCAGGTGTGAACGCGGAGTGGGGGACCTTTTGACTGAGACTTGACCTTTTTGGACGAGTGCTTTTACGCGGTTGGGATTTTGGGGGGACGGTGGTTTTTTGTATTGACGTTGGGAATTTGGAAGTGGGGAGGGAAGGAAATGGGGAAGTTTCGTTTTGGGGGAAGGAAGAAGGAAAGAGGGAAAAAGAGGGAGAATAAGTGAAATAGTGACTTTGCTTGTACTCAATTGCTAAATGACTTTTGTTGCCAAAAAGCTCCCCCAAAGATTCACTATTTTGTGTTTTGGATATGCTTCAGAGTTTTCCTTCTCAATGAAATCTGTGAAAAGCTAGTTCGTAAACTTTGAATGACTGTAGTCGTTTACAAGCTAACGATGAGGCATCGAGTGAATTTGAATGTTTCGCGCCAAAGAAGGTTTTTGAATTAAATTGTTCAGGTTTTGTTGTACGTATATTTATAGAATTCGTAACGGTAAAATTAGTAGGGTTATTGAGAGAACTTTGAATACACGTGTGATCATCCGCAAGCAATGAATATGAAAATAGTTTAATTGTTTTGCGCCAAAGAAGGTTTGCAGTAAACTGTTTTGGATCTTTTGTTTTACGGTATTAATATTTTATGGAATTTGTAACGGTAAAAGCAAAAATGTTATAAACTAAACTCTGAATACATGTAATCATTTGCAAGCCATTAGGGATTGTGAGAAAATTTGAATCTTTTGCGCAAAGGAAGGCTTCCAACTAAACTATTCAGTAAACGCTCACTACATGTAATCATTTGCAAGCGATGAGGTATCGAGTAAATGTACTCAAGATTGGGTTTTAATTTTTTTTTTTTAGGGAAGTTTGATGTAACGTGAAAATTTAATTAACTAAGCCAAAAAAATTGACGTGGATAAATGATGAATATTAATGTTATATCCATAGGGATTTTGCACCGAACATCCTCTATTTTTAGTTAGGCGTTTATCATGGTGTCTGAATCTAAAAATTTGATGAGAAATAAAAAATTATCAACCTGTGCCTCATTTGGATACTCAAGAGACGATTTCATGTTTAGATTCGTTCAATAATGGAAAATACTAGGTTTGAGAGCTTAAAAAAAATGATGATGAGTGGGTTTAGTTATTAAATATGACATTTGGTGGTGGTTAAAAAAGTGTTTAACATAAATAAATTAAAATTTAAAGGGACAAACTAGTTATTTCGTATTAAAAGTTTAAAGGGATTAATTTCAAAAGATTGAGGGTTGGGAACCGAATTATCCTAAAATTAAAGGACAAAACCATCAACCATCATCTTTTTACAATGTACTATAAATGAGCGTTATTACGGTGCCGTTAAAACGTCATCTGCACGAATTAGTACTGACACAAAAGGATTTTCGATCCATTCTAATGAAACCCTACCTCACAATTTACTTTCACTTTTTACTTTTTATTTGAGATTGTTTTAGTCAACTTCTCTTTTATTTACAACCAACAATTTCGAACCATTAAAAACAACTACCAGTAAGTGAAACAGGGAGCTATCTTGTTTTTTATAAAGCGATATTCTAACTAAAATTGCTATTTACACATCTATTTTTATTTTTTCACATATCTTTATTATTTTTTTATCGTTGATCTTCAATTTATTCGATCCAACGACTGAAAATTGAGAGTGCTATGTAAGAAGTAGAAATAAGTATGTTTGCAAGTGGTCCAATATTCTAATTGATGCAGTTGGTTGAGTGACTCCCCTGGTTTCTATCTCCATCGTCTTCCCAAGACCCATTGGCTCCTCTTACATCACCAATGGATAGGATGTTGTGTTTCTACCAATATGTTCCAGGTTTGAAACTTCTCCTCTCCTAATTTATTGTAATAGTTTTAAACTCTTTTCATCCCCTTAATGATAATAAATTTAAAAAAAATGGATGGGTGGATAGCACTACCCAATTCTAATTTATGAATGAAGGAGAATAAGATATTTACAAAGAGCAATGCTAGGGAGACTAACTATTTAAATTAAAATTTGTAATCCATATAACGTGAATGTTGATAATTGGATTATTATTAAGTATTGATTAATGTGCTTATTTACTATCAATGACACATCACATGATTTATAAATTTGGTCTAAAAAGTTCATTTACCTAGCATTACTCATTTACAAAAGAGGAAGTACATTTTTCTAGCCAACTTGGCTACACTCCGATATGTCTGAGAACTACTATATTAAAACTAAATTCAGTAATTTTTTTTTTTTTGCCATTTAACTAATAAATGCATGTCACTGTTAAATTTAGCATAATATTTTTTTTAATACTGACATGAAAAATGTTAAACTATAAAATAACAGAAAATCATTGAAGATTTCCACTTTAAAAACATCTGCTTAGGATTTCTTTTACATGAAATTCATGTTTTTTTTTTTTTTTGGAAACTGAAATTCATGTTCTTTGTTATTAATGAAGTTCTTTCTCTCTAGGCTTTAGCTTTTAGTTTCTATAGACTTCGATTTATTTCCAAGATTAAAGTGGCTTATTTTTAATCACATTGACCCAAAAGCTATTGGTCAACGTTGTTAATTTCAAAATTACATGTGATTGATAGTTACATAATTATTTAAGTACAAGTCTGAAAGAAGAACAAAACGGTACATGTTTGAAGACTAGCATGCGGTACGTACGCCGTGACTCAGGGCTGGTTTAGTATTGCTGTGCTTTGAAAAAAAGCTGATGTGAGAATAAGCGGCTGTGCTGTGAGAATAAGCGGCTGTGAAATAAAGCCAGTAGAGTGTTTGGTAAACTTTTTTGTGAAAGTGCTTTTGGAAAAAAAAAGCAGGATGATAGTGTGTCTTTTCATTAAAGGAGCACTGTAGCTCCATGTGCTTTGAAAAAACTGGCTTTTTTTCAAAGCAGCAAATAGCAGCTTCAGCTTTTCCTTTGATTTTCAGCTTATTTTCACAGCAGCTTCCAAAATAAGCTTTTTTTTTTCAGTTTACCAAACACAAAAATGACCCTCAGCTTTTTTTCACAGTGGCTTTTTTTAAAATCACCTCAATCCCAAACGGGGCCTCACACACCTACATCATCGGCTGTTTGACATTTTACATGTCGACTTAAAACATTGCAATCGCAACCCAAATAAATTATAACCATAATTATTTACATGTATTTAGCGTGAATTATTTTGCAATCTAACACGGTTCACCAAAAATATAAAAATGAAATCAAATAACTCAAACGCCAGTTCGCTATATTAGTTTGACCGTCTCATTCCACTTGAGATTGAATTCGTAAGTTAAAGTAATTTATAATTCAAATTTGCAACATTTTCAATAGAGATAAAAAAAATTAATGAAAAAGACTTAGAAATTTTAAGTTTTAATGATAAGGACAAAATAAAAGGTAAAATGAATAGTATTAGAATTAACTTTTTGGCATAAAAATATAATTTTTTATTAAAATAAATAGTATCGTAAATTTTTCGTTAAAATTCCCTAAAAAAATAGTAACGGACTAAAGCATGATCTCATTCGCTGGCCATCCCCCATAGGTTTTTGAGTTTTGTATTGTTTTATTAGCAGCTTGACTTGCATGTCAATTGTCAACAGATTTTATAGTCTTCTTCCCTTTGGAATTATTGACTTTCAATTTATTTGTGATATGATATCAGGCTTATAATTAATTAAAATACCCATATAAATTAGTCTCTATTTTTTTATCAAGTGGTTGAAAAGCCAGCTCTTAGATTGTTATAATTATTTTTCAATGGCAATACAATTTTATTCATAATTAACCAAATTAGGCACGGACATAGGACCTTACCGTGTCACGATGAGTGAGATATGAACATAAAAATATTACAAAATTATAGTAATGATCTCTCGATTAAAATTTAATTAGAGCAATAATTTCTTAACAAAAAATCTATAATTATTGGTCCCTTAATTAGGGGTGGGTTTGATTCCTTTCGGTTCGGTTTTTGGTCGAAACCGAAAACCAAACCGAAGTTACTATTCGGTTCGGTTCGGTTTGATTTTTCCTCGGTTTTTTTCGGTTTAGTTTTTTTCAGTTTCAGTTTTTTCCGGTTCGGTTCAGTTTTTTCCTTTTTAAAAAAAAAATTCTGGATATTGGTAAATTAGCCCAAAAGGGGACCTGCCAATTTAGCCCAAAAGACCCAACAAATGGTAAAGGCCCAAGCCATAAAATACAAAAAAAAAAAAAAAAACTGGGCTTCCATTGAAGCACTCGCCGCCACCAACCAACCGATGCCTCACCGATTGCAACATCCAGCCATGAGCACCTGTCCGAACACAGCCAAACAGACGAGAACCAAGGGTTTTAATAAAGAGTAAATACCCAAAAACCAAAGATCTTTACCACATAGACAAATCCAAGAACAACATCAGCAAATTTTTGTTCAAAAATTCATCACTTAACCTCGAAAATAAACAATTGAGACTTGTTGGTTTATTCGGATACAAAATTATGAAATGAACTAATACTAATCTTCCATAAGAACAAGCAAAGTAAAAGTGAATGCATAAGCAAATTTCAGAAAAAACAAAGCAAAAACAGAACCAAACCTGCAATGCCGGCAAGGCTTACTTCACCGCGCCATCCAGCGTGTGCCGCGTGTTGATGAGCGCGCCTCTCTCCTCCGACCTTTGTTCCCTGTGCATAAGGAAGACGAGGCCCATGTGGTTCGCGGGACCTTCAAGAGCCACGAGGGCAAGGTCGTCCAGGTCCACCGCCGCAAATGGGTCATCCACATCGAGCGAATCGCCCGCGAGAAGGTCAATGGCTCCACGGTGGGAGAGAGAGAGAGAGAAAGACAAAGAAGACAGAACTAGGAGTAGATGAAATGGGAGAGTAAATGGGGCAGCTAGGGTTTTGTGTTTGGAAATCTTATAATGAATTAAAGATCCAGAATCAGTATAAATATTTTACTAGTACAATTTTAGCAACAGAAAGC